GTAAAGGGTGTCTAGGAAGGGGTCGGCGAGGGAGAGGAAGGGTCGGAGGTGGGCGGGGCGAGGACGCCAGTTCATTGTCGCTGTCCGCGAGCGGTTAGTAAGTGTCCACTGCACGCAGAACCCGTGGTGAGTCAGGACCAAAATGAGGAGGGGGAGACAGGCACGGAAGCAGGGGGTTTGCTTTGGTGTAATACCAGACAGGTTGGCAGAAACTTCCCTAGAGCCAGGCAGTGATGTTTAAGCGGATGCCGGAAGGATGAGTAGGAATTACCCAGTTAAACCGTGGGAGAGAAAGATCTCAGGACTTCATCTCTTGTGAGACCGTGGTTACCTTCCTCCAGCAACTATGTGTGCTTGGCCTTTATAATTCGTACTCTTGATGGGTGTTGGGAAGAGCAGGTGGTGTGTGGGGGGGTTCCCAAGGATGGGATGTTACATCCGAAGTAATTCACTTCCTCTTGCGAACTTCAGTTGAACTCCCTTCTGAGCCCCGCATTCCACATGCGGTCCTGCCTACTTCACAGGTTTTTCTGGGTACCCCACTGAATAATGAGGTAGACGGGGACTGGAAGTGCAGTGTAAATCCCGGAATTACTGTGGTTGCAGGATGCAGACCCCCGAGCGAGAGGGAAGTGGGCCAGAGGCGAGCCCCAGCGTGATGGCCGAGCCTTCCTCAGAGTCTCCTCCTGCTCCTGCCAAGTCCCCCGCTTTTGATCTTTTCAACTTGGTTCTGTCCTACAAGAGGCTGGAGATCTACCTGGAACCCCTGAAGGACGCAGGTGACGGTGTTCGATACCTGCTCAGGTACAGACCTTGTGGAGTTGCTCTGACCTGCTGGGCCTTCTGCTTTTCTGCCCTGTAGGAACATGGGCCATTTAGGTGGTGGCTGTGCTGCTCTTTCTGCTGGAGCAAGGAGCAGTTCTGAGGAGTCCATTTGGTTTCTGGATTTTATCCAGGCCAAGCCCAGGAAAGGCAGGTGCTGGGAACCGTCTGGCCTTTCCTTCGTGTGGCAGAATAAGCTCCTAGCTAGGACTGCTAGACAGTCTTGAATATCAGTCCTTCTGTAGCTTAGAGCAAGCTTAATTGTTTTTTATTCTCTCCCAATATTAGCACAATTAATTAAAATGAAGATAGAATTTGAACACAAGTTAAAAAATATAAATATCTATGAGTAAGCAGATCCTGTTTTTACTAATCCTTCAAGAATACAGATCTCAAATTTTTTTTGCCTTTTCTGCTTTGATTTTCTTTTTTTTAAGGAATTACTTTATTTAACTTTATTAATTAATTTATTTTAATTTGACCAGAGAAGGACAGAGTGAGAGAGAGAGAGGGAAAGTGAGAAAGCAAGCCTCCAGGTCTGGGACTTAAACCCGTGGTCAGCCTTGTGGGAGTCCAGTGCCCTTAACCACCATGCCACTTGCTGGCCCCTACTTTGATTTTCATTCTCTTAACTTTATTTTGTTTCTCCTCTCTGCTAACTTTCTTTGTTTTAATCTGCCGGAGGGTGAATATGTTCATCAAAGAGAGCAAGAGGGAAAGACAGAGGGGGAAGGAGGAAGCACACCTTCACAGGGTATTATCACTCTGTAGTCCCTCTCCATGTTCATTTTGTCGAGATTTGGGGCATGTATGCACACATACCTGCTGGTGTGGTTTTTTTTCCCCAAGCACTGGGACTGGGATTTAAACTGCATGGTTGGCTGTGTGGATCCATCTGCCTTAACCACTGGGCCCATAGCTCACTTTCTTTCTTTCTTTTTTTTTTTGAGAGAGGTTTTTACTATAAGGCGCGTGTGCTTGCTAGAAAGAGAGACAGAGACAGAAAGCGAGACATCACCCCCCTCTACTACCACCAAGGGGGATTGCCACACCATAATCCCTTCTCCTCCATTCTCCTCTTGGGTTCTTGGGCATGCACGCACACATACCTGGTGTGGGTTTAAGCCGCCAGATCTGGGATTCAAACCATGGTCGACTACATGAGAGTCCAGCAACATAGCCATTATGCCCACTGCTGGTCCTTCACTTTAATTCTTATGGGTGGCAGGTGGTGTCAAAATGCTGGACTCCCACATGGCCAAATGTGATTCAAGTCCCAGACCTGGCAGCTTGCTTTTTCTCTCTTCTCTCTCTCTTTTTGATGGGCATATGTGCCTTACTGCAAATTAATAATAATAATACAATTTTTAAAAAGTGTTTTAAATTACAGGTAGATGACATTTCACTTCTTTAATAGTTTATGTCTCTAAGAATATTTTCTTTCATAATCAGATCTACATTATACCCCAAAATTAACAATTCCTTTACATCGTACTGTTCTCACTTCATATTCAGTTTTCCCCAGTTTCCCCACAATGTCATATATAATTACTTCAGGTTCCAATCTAGGACTGTGCATTTTATGTAGATATTATGTTCCTTAAGTCTTTTTCACTTAAATAATTATTTTTATTTATTATTATTTCAATTTGTCAGAGGGCATGTGCACTCATGAGAGAGGGAGAGAGGGAGGGAGAGGAAAAGTGAGAAAGCAAGCTGCCAGGTCCAGGACTTGAACCAGAGTCAGCCACGTGGGAGTCTAGCACCTTAATTAAAAAAAGATTTATTTAATTTTATTTAACATTATTATTATGTTAAAATTTGCTACAGGGCATGTGTGATCACCAGAGAGATTGGGCAGTGGGTGAGAAAGCAAGTTGCCAGGTCTAGGACTTGAACTGTAATCAACCTGTGGGAGTCCAGAACCTTAACCACCATGCCACCTGCTGGCCTCTCTTTTTCACTTTTTTTTTTTTTTTTAAGAATTATTTTTGTTTAACTTTATTTATTTTAATTTGACCAGAGAGGAACAGAGTGAAAGCGAGAGAAAGGGAGAGGGAAAGTGAGAAAGAAGCCATCAGGTCTGGGATTCGAACTGCGGTCGGCCATGTGGGAGTCCAGAGCCCTTAACCACCTCACCACCCCTTTTTCACTTTTTTTGGAGAGGTTTTTGCTATAGGGTGCATGTGCTCACCAGAAAGAGAGAGGCACAAGAAATCACCCCCCAGGGGGATGGCCATGCTGCAGTTCCTTATCCATTCTCCTCTCAGGATCTTGGGCACACACACACATGCACCCAGTGTGAGTTTAAGCCACCAGGTCTGGGTCTTGAACTGTGGTCGACTACATGGGAGTCCAGCAACATAGCCATTTTGCCAGCTGCTGGTCTCTCCTCTTTTTCACTTTTACATAGTCTCTTCATTTATGACACTGACTTGCTTAAGAGACTGATCCAACTATGTTGGAGAATTTTTACTTAGATTTGTCTGGTAGCTTCTTTATGGTTCAAACCAGAAGTTACATTTAAAGGTTGGGGAGTCAGCAGATAGTATAGCAGTTACGTTGCTGAACTCCCACATGACTGACCGTGGTTCAAGTCCCAGACCTGGTGGCTTAAAAATCACACTGGGTGCATATGTGTGCATAAGATCCCAGGAGGATAATGGAGGAGAAGGGATTGTAGCAGAGCCATCTCCCTTGGGGGATGATTTCTCACTTTCTCTCTCATTGTCTCTCTCTCTCCAGTGAGTGCTTGCACTCTAAGGCAAAAACCTCTAAAAAAAAAAAAATGAATAAACATTGGATTAGATTCAAGAAAGATTTGTTCTTGTTTTTATTTTTGGCTGAGGGAAACGTGTTCCTGATACTGCATTGCATCAGGAGTCACAAAAACTTGGTTGTCCACGGGACCAGCAGTTGGTGTAATGCCTATGCTGCTGGACTCACATGTGGTCAACCACAGTTTGAGTCCCTGACCCAGTGGCTTAAACTCATGCCAGACGCATGTTCGTGTGTGCGCAAGATCCTGAGAGGAGAAGAGAGGAGGGATTGAGGCTTGGCCATTCCCCTGGGGGCTGATTTTTCACTTTCTGTTTCTCTGTCTCTCTCTGTCTTTCTGGTGAGCGCATGTGCCCTATAGCAAAAACCTCTCCAAAAGGAAAAAAAACAAAAACAAAAACTTGGTTGTCCGGGGCAAGTATGTGGTGTGGTGGTTAAGATGCTGGACTCCAACATGGCAGATTCCTCGAGTGTCAGACATGGCACATTGTAAATCATGCTGGGCGCGTGTGTGTGTGTGCCCAAAATCCTGAGGAGTGTGGAGGAGAAAAGATTGCAGCGTAGTTTCTGGCAAGTGCACACGCCCTATGGCAAACCACCCCTTTTTAAAAAAATTATATATGTGAGTGTGTGTGTGTGAGTGAGTCTAGTGCCTTCACCACCACTCCACCTGTGGCCCCAAGAGCAGATTTGGAACTTGTGGGTGTATTGTAGAGGTTAGTGAGTCCCCTGCAACTTCATGTAGATGATATACATGTATATTTCCAGGGAAAAGCTTCTAGTTATAGTTAGATTTTTTTCCCCCCCAGAGATTTTTGCCATAGGGCATGTGTACTTACTGGAGAGACAGAGACAGAAGGTGAGAAATCCCCCCACCGGGGGTGATGGCATCCTGCAGTCCCTTCCCTCCATTCTCCTTTCAGGATCTTGGGCATACACACACAGGCCCAGCATGAGTTTCATGCCTCCAGGTCTGGGACTCTAACCACGGTTGGCCATGTGGAAGTCCAGCGACGTAACCATGACATTATCTTCTGGTCCCTGTCATTAGTTTCTTATAAAGGCCTTCAACCCTCCAAAATGCCTGCAAGAACTGGTAGGCTGTGTGAGTGGAGCTGGGTTAATCTCTAAGGGTGCCATTGCATATTCATCCTGTCTCAGTCTGGAAATAGTGAGCAGTGTATGAACTTGGCCCAGCATCCTACATTTTCCTGGTTCACTGGATGAGCTAGTCAGTGTTCCAGAAATGTTCTCTGTTGTAAAGTCACTGTGCTTTTGGCACAAGTGAAAGGGAGGTGGTATGAGGAGGGCTCTTGTCTCATTTTACAATCCCAGCACGACCAACGAGCTGAAATTAACTTCCCAAGAAAAGAGGGGTGGGGGGCACCTCTAGGGAGCATGGGACCGTGCTCACTGGTATTCTTATGTGTTTGCCCTTCTGTGGTGAAGTTAAATATACCCTGCTCGAGCCCTTTTCTTCTACTGATCTGTAGTGCTTCTTGGAACACTGATGTGTTCAGAGTTTTTCTGTTTTATGGAACTATAATGGAGGTGAGAGGAAGTGGTGGATTGGTTTGTGCTGCATCAAAAATGCTCCCAGGAGCCCCTGGTCTCTGCCTCTGGGAGAAGGAGCACTGGCCTGTGAAAGTGGCTGTCAGATTAGTTTGTGCCTTTGATTGTTCTGTTCTTAGTAAAGAGGATTTGACTTTGAAGAGGGACCTAATCTTGGGCCTTGGCTATTAGGCCGAAGCCAGAGCTGCAATAAATTTTTAAAAGCGTCTCTGCTGGGATCAACTACTCCACTAGGTGGGTCTCCCAAGACCAAAGTGTCAGTAAAGGCATAATATAGAAGAGGAGAGGCTTTAAAATGAAAGTGACTTTAGCGACGTGTGATGTTGTTCTTTCGGAAAAGAAGTTGGCTTTAGATCTGGCTTTTATTTTGCTTTTACTCTGGGAGCTGCCACCAGAGGTCCCAAGGCCTGGTTAGAATGGTGTAGGTGGACTGTGTTGAATTTGAAGAGGAAGGCAGAGGGAGGGCAGTTCATTCCCTCACTCATGTTCTTACTAACAAGTGAGCCCCACGTGAGTAATGGAGCCTCATTTCAGAACTCGGAAATAGCCCAGTTAGAGCACAGAAAGTAGGGTTAAAGTCTGAGAGCATTGCCTGCCAGAAATTACCTGTTTATGTTTCTGATATTTGTCTGTCTGTGTCTCTCTTTATTTATTTATTTATTTATTTTGAAGAGATTTTTGCTATAGGGTATTTGCGCTCACCAGAGAGACAGAAAGCGAGAAATCACCTTCCCCCCCTGGGGGAGTGGCCCCTCCGCAGTCCTTTCTCCTCCATTCTTCTCTCGGGATCTTGGGCATGCACACACATGTGCCTGGTGTGAATTTTAAGCTGCTGGGTGCGGGACTCAAACCACAGCTGACTATATGGGGTCCAGCGATGTAACCATTATGCTGTCTGCTGTACTCTGTCTCTCTCTTCTGATGGCTTATACACTGGCACGGCCTTTAGAATTTGGGTGTGCCTATTCCCTGCTCTTTTCTTACTGGCTGGGTGTTATCAGGAAGTAAGCCAGCAGCATTTGCTTGTCCTCAGCAATCTAAATTTCTGGTCATCGTTCTTCCTGCTTTGGGGATTCTGCATTGCCGTTTGGTGGTGTGGTGGTGGTGACTGTATCTTTGTTTGCTTTTATCTGTTCCAGTTTACTTAGGGCATGTTTGCCGAGTGAATAACACTGTATCTTCATTTTTAAGTCTTCTAAAATTATTTTTAATTGCCAAACCTGTATTTGCCAGAGAGAGACAGAGAGAGGGAGAGAGAGAGGGAGAAAGCATCCTCCCAGTGAGTGTGGTCATATCACAATCCCTTTTCCTCCATTTCTCCATCCTGTTGGATTTTGGGCATTCGCCTTGTGTGTTTTTTCAAGTTTGTGCTGTGTTTGGCCATATGGAGCCTAGCTTCCTTATCACTAGGCTGTGGGGCTCAAAAATTACTTTAAAATCTTTATTTCTTCTTCTTCTTTTTTCTTTTTTTGAGAGTTTTTTGCTATAGGGCACATGTACTCGCCAGAAAGATAGAGAGAGATGGAGAGACAGAAAGCGAGAAATCACCCCCAGTGGACATGGCCACGCCACAATCCCTTCTCCTCCATTCTCCTCTTAGGATCCCTGCCACACACACACGTGTACCTAGTGTGAGTTTAAGCCACTGGGTCCGGGATTCGAACTGCGGTCAACTGCATGGGAGTCCAGTGACATAGCCATTACACCAACTGCTGGTCCCTCTTCTTTTGATTTTAATATTTTTAATAGAATTATTTTACTTAACTTCATTTATTTATTCTTATTTTTATTAACAGAGAGGGCCAGAGAGAGAGAAGGAAAGCAAGAAAGCAAACCACCAGGTCCGGGACTTGAACTATGGTCAGCCATATGGGAGTCCAGTGCCCTTAACCACCTTGCCACCTGTTGGCCCCGGATTTTAATTTCTTTTTTTAAATTTAAATTTATTTATTTACCTTCATTCACTGTATATCATTACAGCATACAAAATGAGATTTTCCATCTAGAGTATACTGTATATTGGCTCAATCAAGCACATCAATATACTTGTTACCATCAACAAATAATTTTTCATTTCTTGTTTCCTGTATGTTTT